CCCCCCCCCCCCCCCCCCGGCGTGAGGGTGCGCACCGCGTGTTGCCGGCCTCCACGGACGCCTCGACCAGCTGCCGCGCCGCCAGTGTGAGTAATGGCTCGTCCCTCTTGCCCAGCAGCACAGTCGTGCTGTAGGTGGTGCGGCCCTCGGCAGACGCGTCCGGCCTGCCGCCCAGGTTGAGCCATGTTGTGATGCGGAGCAGAGCTGGGCAGCTATGGTTTGAGGGGCGACAACTTGTGCATGCGCGCGCCTGCGGAGCGCCGGCCGCAGCCATGTCTCGTCTGACCCACAAGCGCAGCGGCTGCTGTTGCGTGAGGGCATACCTGGCGCTGAGGATGGTTCCGAAGGCGCCTATCTGGGAGGCCACCAGCATTACGCAGTCCTCGTACTTTGACACCACCACATCAGTCGGGGCGCCATCCACGTCGAAGCGAGCCACGTTGACGGACACGGGGAAGCCCGGCGGCTGCACGCTCGCCATGCCGTGCAGCCGCACCCGCCGTGGCTCAAGATCGGGCTCGTTTGGCTAGCACGGCCGTTCTGAGAAGGGCCGCCGGCGAGTGCGGTGTGCGCGCAAGCGTATGTGCACTTCGCAGCGGCCGCCCGATACTGTTCGACGTTTAGTGCAGGGATTCTATCACATTTGAGACGTGAATCGTTCGGCCGCGGCGCAATTTGTCCTCAGCAGCAATGTGTCCCGTGATCAGTGAACATGTTTCTGCGACGAGATCTGATAAGCATTTGCTATCGTTGGCCTACTCGTGGTTCCAAAATGTACGTCAAGAAGAGAGGAATAAGCAACCAAAGCTACACATATCCAAGGTCAGCTGGATGCGCATGCCTCCGAGCCTGCACCTGCCCCCGAGCAGCTCATGCTGCCAGGGCCCTGCTCGCCTCCCACACCAAGAACAGCCGCCCAAACCCCACTCTCTGCTTCCCTCCTACTATCCCGGATTGCAACTTGGACAGGACTTGATACGGGCGTGGACAAATTGTTGATGTTGTTACCGTTTTTGCAGGCAATTTGCGCGATCAAAGAATCAACAGGTCCAGCAGCGCGGCAGTTGCGCGTATGTTTTCGAGTCACGCAAGTGCCAAGGTGCTTGCCGTGCCGCAGTGCCTCGTCGAAGTACCCTTACCTCCCTTCACAGTGCAGCGACCGCAAAACGCAGATATGAAACGCGCCATGCTGACGCATGCGTGCGGCCACTTGGCCGACAATACACCGCATGTCGATGGGCCGCCACCCCCAAGCGCCCATTGGGGCGCAAAGGGCCAGCGGCCCTGCGAACAAGGGCTGCTCGCTTTGACACAGCCTGCAAAAGGTGGGGCACCCACCCCCCATGACAGCCGTGTCGCGATATAGTCCCAAGCGGCGCCCAGGACACGAGCTCACAAAGGAAACGAGCTAGTGCTAGGCAAAACACCAAGGGCGACACCCACAGCGCGAAGCAAGCCCTGCGCCCAGGCGCCCGTGCTGACGCGTTCAACCATGCCCAACCACCACCAGGCGGGACAACCCAAGCGGGACACCATGTGGCCGGAGCACGGCGTTCCCCCCCTACGCAATGCCTTTGATAGGTGGGCGGCCGAATTGCGCATTCTGTTGCGATCGAGCGCAACGCCTGGCGGGGCGTCCGCACGAGCGTCCACCAGAGTGCGCCGGCCACAAGGCTGGCAGCTTCCTACCTGACAGCAACCTTACTGTCGCTGCCGGCGTCCCCCTGGCCGGAGGGCGCCTGGTGCTGCTGCGCCCACTTCTCGAAGCTCCTGGGGCCAGGGCAAGCGCAGGGTTGGAGGCAGGGGTGAGGTCCTTCGCCGGGGTGATGCAAGGCATGCAGGCTTGCTGCACATGGCTCCAGGCTGGCCCGAGAATGCGCTCCTGTCAACAGCCCGCCGGGAACCCCGGGCACGGGGCAGGCCACCCAGGTTGTGCCGCGGCACGCAGCAGCCCTTTCCTGCCCAGGCGGGTGCAGCCAGATGCAGGGGCCCGCGTGGCCGCCCCACCTGGGTGTGGCCGACAGGTACACGGGCGGGGCGGCGGGGGCGGCGTCCGCCACAATGGTCGTGATCTCGGCCTCCGCGCACACCTCGCGCGCCGCAGCCTCGGCCTCCTCGTCGCCACCGACTGCAACGTAGCGGGGTTGAAGTGCTTTGAACACAGATTCCATTACAAAATGTGCCCCCAGAACTCCAATGCTCTTGTATCAGTCCCCTCGCCCCAACTCGCAATCAACTTTCACCCCTATCCATCCAAGAGGTTGTGTCGGCTGGTGTAAGGAGCAGAGCTCGCGCCATCCTGACACATACACACACCTACATGCACACACATGCACACACACACACACACACGCACACGCGCATGCGTGCGCCTAGCCCCACATACACATACACTCTCTCACACACACGCGAATGCGCGCGCATGCACAACCGCGCGCGCGCGTGCGCCCCCCCGCTCCAGCCGCCCTCACCCAGGATGATGGCCGCCGTCGAGTCGGGGTCGTACAGCAGGCTCATGTCGCCGTCAAAGGCGTCACCAAAGCCGCGCGTCGTTACCTCCACGCGCACGTTGCCCAGCTCCTTCCACGCCTCAAAGCGCTCGCGGAAGCAGACAGCCGCCTCATTGGGGACCTGGGGGGCGGTGCAGGGTGCCAGGGGGCGAGCGCGTGCGGCGCGGTTGGGAGGGTGCAGAGCAGTCAAAGACTCCTGAATGGGGGGTGGGTGTGCATGCCCCTTCCACGCGCCCCTTCCAAGCAGCAGGCACTTCACAAGGGCAATCCTGCAGCCCCTTCCAAGCGTCTCAGCTGCTCCAACCAGCCCCACCGTCCAGATGACGCCGTCAGGCCCCATCACCTTCACAAAGCCTGCGCAAACCCATCAGCCGGGCCTGCCGCTGCCCTGTCAGCCGACCTTTCCCAGCCGGCCCCAAACCCGCCCCCATCGCGATGACTCACGCTGTAGTAAACCACGATGTCCTGCCGCAGCCCCGGGGCGAGGTTGGCCGTGTCGGGCGGCGATTCAATGAGGGCGCGCGCTGACGCGATGCCGGCCGGGCCCGACACGAACATCACCACCGTGGGGAACCTGGCGGCGCGGTGAGGGCGTCGGCGTGGTTGGGTGAGGCCTGAGGCACAGCGCTCGTGCCCCTCTTTGCTCCAGCCCGTGCCACAGTTGCAGCGGCTGCTGATCGGCGTTGCTTGCTGCCCTCCAACCGAGCCGTTGGGCACACACACGCATACACACGCACACACACACACACACACACGCACACACACACACACATACACACATACACACACACACACAAATGCACACGCATACACACACACACACAAATGCGCACACACACACACGCACGCGCGCGCGCGCGCGCTGACGCACGCATGCTGCGCGTCGGCGCAAGTGCACCGCCACAGAGGTAAAGCCCCAAAGCAACGGCGCCCGTGGCCCCCCCACACACACACACACCTGAAGGGCGCCATCACGCCGCTGCTGCGCAGGTCCACGCCCGTGCTGTCAAAGGGCCCCACTTCGATGGCGTCGTCCAGCTGCACGTTGAAGAGGTCGGGCTCCCCCTTCTGGCTCACAACGATCTCGACCTCCGCCTGGGGGGCAGGCGATGACATGCAAGAAGAGGGGCCGAGAGGAGGGGCGGTGAGACGTCAAGTCGCAGGTCCGGGCTGCGAAGCGCAGCCTCCGATCAGGCAGCGCGTCTGCTGCGGCGCAGCGCCGGGTTGATGGCGGCGCAGATTGTGCGGCGAGGCGGTGCGCTGATGGGTGATGTCCACCCAGCGTTTGCGCCCAGCATCCCAGGCCGAAACGCACCACCCGGCCGCACCTGTACGCTGATGGGCTCGCGCACAGACTTGGTCTCCCCCGCGAAAATGTCGCCGCGCGTCATGTACAGCGCCTGGGGGGTGGAGGGGGGCGCGAGGGGCAGTGAGCTGCGACGACGCTGAGCGCACGCGCGCTGCGGCGCGCCTGCATGAGCGTTGCAGAGGCAGGGATGGCATCGAAAGCAGGTAGCGCATCGCGCTGCGATGACACCGCGGCCCGCCTGCTCGCGCCCCACGCAGCGATGACGATCGGCCCTCGCCAGCACCACCCCAGGCAGCCACGCGCCCATGCAGCGGCCCGCTGCTCCCCCCCCCCCCCCCCC